CCCCCCCCCCCCCCCCCCCTAACGTTCAAATTTTCCTTATATATATATAAAATATTACCCTGAAATGCCAGCTTAATAGGGTCGAGGGATCTTAAAATCACAATAACTATCCCTTCGTAGATTAACAGAAGCCTAGCGTATTCCTTATTGGATTAAAGAAACGTTATAACGCTGGCCGCTGTGGTGTAGTGGTAAGCAGTGCGCGCTTCCATTCCACAATGCCTGGGTTCAAACCCTGGTCAAAGCAACATCGCAAAAATATAGAAAAAAGGTTTTTTCTTAACAGCGGTCGTCCCTCGGCAGGCAATGGCAAACCCCCGAGTGTATTTCTGCCATGAAAAACAGCTTCTCATAAAAATACAATCGCCGTTCGGAGTCGGCGTAAAACTGAAGGTCCCTCCGCTTTGTGTGACAACATCAAGGCGCACGCCACAAATCGGAGGAGAAGCTCGGCCAAACACTAACATATGTGTAAGCGCCAATCTATTATTATTATTATTATTATTATTATTATTATTATTATTATAATTTTCTATTGTAAGCTCCGCACATATGTAGCTCTGGAAGCGCTTCAGGCTTACATTTTAGTCACTGCCTCTCTTGCCAAATGATAGCCATTCTCGGCGAGATTACCTGCCTCCTCGTAGCCAATGACGCCAGTGTGCCCTGGAATCCAGAATGTGTTAAAGCTGTATATCCGTATCAGCGAATAATCCAGCCAAATTTCTCCTATGGCCAAAACCTCTAGCAGCAGCTTATACGTCTTAGTAAGTTCCACGCATTATACCGCAGTGCTTACACCCTTGTCTATTTTGATCTTTATGTCTAACTACTCATGCACCGAATTAGTCAACCTCATACGTTCTACCAGCCTTCGAGCGCAATAGTGGCTTCTGAAGTATGAATCAAATAGCATGTTGAACACCATATTAGGTCTGGCAGCAGTTTAATACGCTGTATTCTTGGCCATCAGTTCCGTTAGCCTAATATACATATATGTATAGAGTGCTGCCTTCAGTGTGGTTCTAAGTGTCCCCGTCATGTCAATTACAGATCTCTTTTTACTTTCCCTGCAGGGAAAGCTACTAGTTGTGAACTAGAATTCTACCGGTTTGCGTTTCAGCCGAACTAGTTCACGTTCTATCCTTTTTCAATGTTAGCGACTGGTATTTTTAACATTGCGATGTCCTACGAGATGTCAATTGTCAGGCTATGCATCAGCATCTACTAGTATAAATACTAGTAGCATCATACCAGTTGATGAGATAGTCTGCCAATTCATGCCCCGTGAAAAGCATAAGTGTGCCTTTTTGCTCGCGACGCTCCAGCAGTCACAATGGCCGACAGAGCAGAGCACTCGTATGGCTAGCCTGAAGTCCCAGGTTCAAATCCTGGCTTAGGGAAAATTTTTTTATTTTCTATTTTTTATTTTATTTTTATTTTTTATAAAATTATTTTTTTGTTTATGCTGTTTATTGTAATTTTTAAATTTAATAAAAAAATATTTTTGTTTAATTTCTTTGTTTTTATATTTCTTCCTGAATGTTGTTTTGCAATGCAATTAGATTTTTAAATTTGTTATTTATTTATAAATTGTATAAATAATTTTTACTTACATTTATTTAACTTTAAAAATCTTAACCACCTCCAAGCGGCCTCGAACCTGCGATTTCAGAACCAGAACCAGTAGTCTTCACGTGACGCCACAGCCAACATTTGTAAGAAAAGCAATTAATTGCGTTTTATTTTTGGCTTAGGCAATTCAAAGGCAGATGTCGCTGATCGCCTAAGTTCTTCGAAATTTTCGAACTGGTAGGCACATACTAGTTAATGAACCAGTATTTTTTCTAACTGGATTGGCTTTTCACTGCAGGGTTCTTCTTCATTACTGTCCAGCAGACGCGACTGAGGTTTTCTTCGTCCTCTCCTCTACTTTAAGTCGCAACTACTTGGTTTTTACTTCAGCTGGAGACACGTTCCAAACAGCTTAGGGCTAGACCATTGAACAGTCTTATATTTCCTAGTGAAGAGTACTAGGTCAGTATTTTCTTTGTTGATGCTAAGCATTTCTTTAGCTCCAAAGATCTACATATGTACCTCCTACATAGATATTTCATGAAGGGTTTCCGCATAGTCTTTAAGTTCAATAGGTCTTCCTTTTATTTTCTTGAGTATCTTATTAATCACTAGAGATCAGAGTAGGGCGATATGTTCATCCGATATGTAGCTACCTAATCAAATTACCTTTTTCTTAACCAACGTTTTTCTTGCCAAAGTTGTTTAAAGCTTCAATCTACAATAAATGTGTTAAGTAGTTAAATATTGAGCTCTATTATTTTTTGACACAACCAAAAACACTCAGCTGAAACACACAAACTAAACTGGCGAAAAAAAACAAACAAAAAGCCGGGCAGTCAGCCAAACCTTTACAAAATTAGAAATCAATAAAACAGCTGCAAGAAAATACTTTAAGCCACAATATAAGCCAACGTTCTGAAGCTAGCGGCTAAAAGTAACCGACACACAGCTGATCAATCGATCGAGCGACTTGAAAAACAACATTTTTCACACATTTTCACTCAAACAAAACAAACCGTTGATTCACAAAAGTTGAATGGCATGCGTTCATTTTGGAGCGCGAACATATAGTTTATTCACTCGCACGCGCAGAAAGGGTATATTAAAAACATGAAATATTAAATGAAAGCGACAGCCATCCGATTTGTGGTGGTGGTGGTGGTGGCGGCACCAGTTGGTGGTTGTGGTTCTTCAATCTCCGCTGCTATTAACAGCGCACTGTTAATGTGGGCTGTTGCAGCCTTCCCTGCCCATTCTGCTGCTTTTGTTGTTGGCAAATCGAAGCGCTCTTCGCACGCTGCCTACTGTTTTTCAGCCATCTGCCACTTATACGCTACTACAGGGGCCTGTTGATGGCTTGGCTGGTCTTTGGCAGCAACATTTCGCTTCATTCGGTTTTCAACAAGCGACGCGTGCGGTTCATTCCAAAAATTTAGCGCCGATGCGAGAGTGATTTAGAGTGTGATTTCGTGCAAACATGAAATTGACTTAACGTCTGTGCTAAGTGAGTAATAAGAAGAATTTTCGAAAGTCAAACCAAATTGACTGCACAAAAAGTAAATTTTAAAATAACCAAAAATTTTCGCTTTTGCGTGAGTGAACAATGTGTGTAGAAACTCCTAAGCAAGTAGAATGAAAATTTTAAGAACCTGTGAACACCTTTCGAAACATTGAAATATTTGTGCAAAACTGAAAAAATTAAATTACTGAAAAGTAAACATAAAAACGCTTAAAACTCTAGCAAAATTTTCATATTGCCGTTCTCTAAAATGGTACGCAGCTTAGCGCAGTGGACGAAAACCCTTAGTTTTCCTTCACGTCTATCGCCAAATCGCAACTCAAAAGATTGCACTAACCTGAACGCCACTAGTCCCGTGCCACCACCCACACCGCCAAGGAATAAAACTACAACAACCAACGGCAACAACAACAACAACTGTGCAACGTCACGTTCCTCATCGTCGACAGAGTCATCTTCATCGCACTCGGCTTCGACGGCAAATATTTCACCAACACCCACAACCATGGGCGTCAACAATAGTGCCAATAGTAATTGCAATGGCAACAAAAACAACAAACATAATTTGCCCATCACGGAACTGGAGCAAATTGTAAGTACAATTGCAGTGCTTAGAAAAAAATAAGAAAAAAAAATACCTAACATAGAAAATAATAAACAGATTTTTCTCACGTAGAGAGAAGGTTAACTTGGCAGAATGTTACATAGCAGGTCAAGAATTCAACAGTCAAATTCTCATGCCTTACATCAATGAGGATGCGATGTGATGGGAATGCTTTTCGAGCCAAGAATGCATTTAATTTCTATTTTTTATTTATTTTTTTTTTTGTTTAAGAATGAAGCGAGCGAATGAGCTTCAAGCTCAACGGCAGCCAATTAGTTCCACCAGCTTCCCAATGTGATTGCTGTAAATCCGTGGCATTGAGCGTGTCAGTTCGCCGATCTGTTGATTTGTCTGTCTGCCTGCCTGCCTGTCCCCTTATTCTTGGTATTGTTGTTGTGCATGAGTTAGCAGAAAAATGCCCGCATTTTTAACCGACTTCCAAAAAAGGAGGAGGTGTCCAGTTCGTCGGAATATTTTTTTTTTTTTTTTTATGTATGTTACCGCATAACTTTGGACCACGTCAACCGATTTCGATAATTCTTTTTGCATCGGAAAGGTAGTGTCTCAGAGGCGGCTTATGAGTCAACGGTCTTGAATGCGGTGAAATTTTTACACTTTCTTGTTGTTGTAACGAAGTTACATTTCATTTCATAACTAGTAATTTTTAGCAAAAAAAAAAAACCGACTTCAACTCCCATATAAAAATATATATATATATATATATATATATATCTCATGATCCGCTGATTGGATCTTAACCAGATTAGTATGGGACCACCTCTGAGACACTACCTTTCCGATGCAAAAAGAATTATCGAAATCGGTTGACGTGGTTCAAAGTTATGCGGTAACATACATAAAAAAAAAATAAAAATAAAAATAAATATTCCGACGAACTGATAACCTCCTCCTTTTTTGGAAGTCGGTTAATAATATAAGAACATAAATTAGAAAAGTTAAAATAAATAAAATAAAATAATAAAATAAAATATAAGATTAAATTAAATAAAAAAGCAATAATTAAATAAAAAGGCAATAAATAAAATCGAATTAAAAGAAGAGCGAGAAAAGAGCAATAGATACAATAAAATAAAACAAAGTAAAATAAAATAGCCATTAAATTAAATTAACTTAAAGAAAATAATTAAATAGTATTGAGCAAGGACTTGACATTTTAATCTTTTTTTACTAGAATTCAATGAGCTACAAAACTGCATACTCAAAGCCTTTTTAAGAAATCTATTTAAAAAGCTAGAAATTTTTACAAAATTTTGTTAATTTTTTTCTTTTTTAATATAACACAAAATTTTAAACTTGGAATTAAATTGCATTTGTTCAAGAATAAAATATACTTCTGTAAGAAAATAACTAAAATTAAATAACAGAAAAAATAATTTGTTAAAACTTGTCAAAATGTAGTGCGGCTGTAATTTTTTCGACCACTGTAATTTTTGTCATACGCTATACGTAGTAAAAAAAAAATTGAAATTAGTCTATTAAAAATAGGTAGAATCGAACATTAAATCTTTAGAAAAAGTGGTTCGGGTTTCAAACATTTGTGGAAAATTTCGGTTCGCTTAAAAAAAAATAAATTAATTAATTATTAGAAAAAATTAGCCAACCCGGCCCAAAGCCGATTCACGCCCCTGCTATTGAATCTTAAGTATTACTTAACAAATTTCCATACAAAGTATGTTCGACAATTTATTTTGTATCGCAGAAAATGCGCAATACAGTCTGCAAAAAAAAAATATCGAAAATCCACGCGATTTTTTAGATGGTTGAAACTTACACTTTATGAGACTAAAATTTAAGGGCTATAAAACTGCATATTCAAAGAAAATCACAAAAAAAAATCTGATTAAAAAGTTTAAAATTTATTAAAACAATAATAAACATCAAATGAACAAAAAAAAAATATAGCCAAAACTTGTTAAAATATCGCGTCCCTATTTATTTTTCCACCATTGTATGTCTATATATTGCACTATTCTATTGCATAAAACCCTCAAAGATCTACACACACCAACAATATGAATTATCAAAAACATCATAGAAAATTAATCAAACAGCAACTAATTGAAGTAAAATTTCATAAAAATAAAAGCAGCAACAATAATAATGAAATGCAAAAACGCCGGATGCGAATAGTTTCAAAACATTTCACACCGTTTGTGTTTTTCTTTACTTTAATTATTCTTCATTTGGAATTCAACGTAGCCACAAAACAGCAAAACCGCTGTTGGATTGTTGATATCCGTGCAAGTTTCAAATTACCTACCCACCAACTCCTATGCAAATTGAGGGCAGCTGACAATTAACGATAAAATATGTACCGACACACACACACACACACATATGTACATTTGTGCGTGTAAATGATCGCACCCATTTATTTATTTTATTTTATTTCTTGCAAAAGCATAATAAAGGCCAGAGATAAGCTAAGTTAAACCACGGCAGTTCGAATGGCCTAAATAAGAAATGTTAAAAACGCGTAGTA